GAATTTTAGCGTTTAATGTTTTCATTGAAACATCTTGAAGAAGTACGTCGTATTCGTTCCTTACGAGGAAACAGGTTCATATTTGAATAACGATAGTAAATATTCATGTTCATAAAGCTTTTCTAAGGATGCAGGTAATATTATTTTATTATCTTAAAAATTCGATCCCGAGTCCCGTCACATGTCTCGTCTCGTCGAGTGAGCCACAAAAAGGCCAGACCGCAGGAACTGGTCCGTGGATTCTATGAACCCGTAATTTGACCCCCAATTAAATAATTTTCTCAAATATCATTCCGTTTCATTTGGCGGAGGCGGTCTCCTGACCTGGGGGCACGCGCATTAGAGTCCCGGCTCGATTCTTGGTTTGTAAACTCCATTATACTTAAATATGCCCCGAAACCACAAACCACATCCGAAGGTTAACCGGGTTCAGAACGACCCTTTGTTCCAAATCTAATTCAATCCTGCCCTAAAAGTGAAATGATCCAATTTCCGAGTGTATCATATTCACATTTGCATGAAACCAAATCGCCGGAGGCATATTACCTATATGAAAGCATCACTATAAAAAAACGAGCCCTGCAAATTGACCTGTCCTTCAAGGCGGGCGAACGACGCCGCCGCCGCTGCCGACCTGTCGCCGCTAAATAATTCCGTTCCCATGATCTAGCCAGTAGCTATCTCGCTTTAATTATTCATAGAGTTTTTTATGCTCTATCGTTTCTTACCGCGACCGACGTCGACGAGTGCCCGCTCGAAGCCTTATAAAATTAAAAAATAAAATAATCGAGCACCGACCGGCGCAATTTAAAAAAGGAATACGTCGCATGACACGGATCGAACTCCGGGCAAATGTCGCGTTGTAAAAAGTGGTCGGGCGCGGAGAAGCGCGGGGGTGCGGACTCAGGGCGCGGCGGGGGCAGGACGTCACGTAGGCGGCGCGCTTTTTGTCAACGTTCCCGCGGAGATGACAGGTCGCTGGACGCTGGACGCTGAACGCGGCGACCGACCCAGCGCGAATCGTCTTGATGCTTTCTATTTTAATCCCGCTTCGCAATAAAAACACGTAACGTTTCTATTGTGATTTATTTTTAAGAAAAAAGACTTGTCGCCGTAAACCGTAAATGCACGGGTGCATTGACTGTAAATTAAAACATTCTCGTTGACAAATTCAATTAGGCATTTTTATTTTTTACATTTGTCATTGGGTTTTTCCTGTGTGTTACACTATTGTAAAATAAATTACTTTTTGTAGGTACTTCTTCATTTTATTTAATTACGTTTTGTATTTTTTACGGACACAATCCTGGTTATTTTTTAAAATCGTGAAACTGACCGTTTTTAACTGATAATACCAACAATTTTCATATTATAATAAGGATTTATAGTCTATAAAATCTTCACATTTGACTTTTCAGGCTAAATATAACTTTTGAAATAAAAATATTATAAGAACTTTGTATATAATCACCAAACCACTGCAGTAAAATATGAAGATCATTTTATTTGGGTGCAGTACACCGCCGGCATGACATCACGACAGGTGTGCTCGCGCCGCGCGGTCCGCTTAAGCTTTTTTAATAAACTCTTAAACCCAGAGCGTTCTTACAATCAAAGGTTCATTACCAGTCTGTTCGCAATGATCATTAGGTCCTTGATAACCTTTTAGAGAAGAAGTTTTTTTATCTATTTTTACAGTAACGAAAACAAATATGTATTTTTTTTTTCTTTTCCATTACGAAGTAGCGGAGCATCAAAAGTTAAATTTACGTATGTAGGTAATTAATTAGAAAAATGTATATACCTACAATATTTTGATCATTTTACATTGGTGCTTTCATACACTTTGTATGAAAACACCAATGTAAATTGTTTTGGGCTACAAAAAACACAACTGCCCCGAGTGACGTGAAAGATATTTACTTTATTAACAAGTTTAATTTCTTTCCAGAATTTCCGAGAGCAGAGAATCGATGGAGCCGGCTTGCCGCTACTCACTGAAGAACACCTAACAGGGATGTTGCAAATGAAGTTGGGGCCCGCGTTGAAACTCAGGGCGGTGCTTTCGAGGCGTCTGGAGCCCTGCGCCCACTGTCAAGCCCTGAATCCGGCCCCCGCCACCCCCGTACTAGGACCGAGAATAAACGGCACTGCCCTCAAATCCGAACCAAGGAGTAACACAACCAGTCCTAGTTAGAACACTAGTACTTACTTCGAACTTTAGTTTAAAAATCTCTTTGTAATGATCTATTTCGGTTTTGCTTCACTGCTTCTTTTCGTTGTCACAGATGATATGACTTTTATTATAACAAAACTTTTATACGAACTCCTTTCTTAACTCGTAACATCTGTGAAATTGAAAAGCAGCACGATTCATTAAAAACTAGCAGCACACACAAGCAATATATATAACCTTCATATTATAATATAGTATCCACAGGGGCATTTTATGAATCAATCAATTTATGTTCGAGACAATAAAATCTGGAAAGTATTGCACTCACTCAATAAAATAAATGCATAAAATAATACCGTTAATCCTATACTTATAATTAAACTTTGTACTGGTTGTGTGTCTTCCAATCAAGGCAGCTTTCAGATGACCGTTAAATAATAATTTACTTTTAATAAAATCATAATAACTCTAGTAAATTTTTATATAATGATTTTAGTCAAACATCTTGTTCGCGTAAAGTCTTCCTGATATAGATTTTTGCATTTAGTTACTACTTAGATCGCTTAGAGATAAATATTTTAGAGTGTTGTTTTGGAACGTTTTTTGTATATAATAAATACATAAAGTTATGTATTGCCGTCCAAATGTTTTAAAGTTAATGTGAAGAGAATGTTTTTGTATGTTATAAAAAGGGAAATATTTAAATGAATCTCAAAAAAATAATAAATGATGGAATTTTGAAGATCAATTACTATTTTTGATGATCATTTAAATATTTGCTTATAAAAATGACGGTGCTTCTTTGTCCGTGAACGTTATTATTAGTATTTAAGTATCTTAATTAAAGAGAGTATGTTACGTGCTTGTTGAAATGAAACTACGAATTGTATATTTTTTTTAAAGACGAACATACTAAAACGGATACTTATTTGAAAAAAAAAACAGAAAAGTGTATTGATAACCAATCGGTGCTAAAGGACCCTGAGATGACTTTTAAAATTAGAATTTATTTGTATATAAAGACCATTTTGTATTAATCGATATATAGAACTATGTTTGAGGCTACTTACGTCTACATAATATTAAACAGGGTCACAAAGTTATAAACTGTTTGTATAGAGATATACATAATAAATATGTAGTTATATTATGCCGCTAATAATTTAGCGTTTATTTATACACCACACCTGAAGAAAGCTCATAATTCTACAGTTATATTGTTGTATCATTATAAAGTGTAATAACTTAGATAATGTTCTGTATAAACGATACAATATCTTAACGATTTGCTTAGTGTTTTCTTTGTAAATAAGTTCCAAGATTGTAAATCCCAGCATCATTCCTTTAACTGTTTGTTATAAATATAACTTTAATTATATATAAAAAGTTTCGAAATACGAATGTAAAGAATTAAAAAAATTAACTGTGGTAATCTCCTTAATTGCCAAAATAGTGTAGAGAATGATATACATGGCAGAATAAGTAGGTATACTTTATTGAACGCAGATCATACGAAAAGGATTATATTTATAAATAAGGTGCTATTATCGGTGTGTATATATAGTGAAAGTTATTTTCAGTGCCTTCCCGGTCTTCCTTGAGATAATATTCTGGAGAATATTTCGATAATAATATGTTATATTAATAATGATAAATACTTAAATACATTTTCGAAAGTATTACGGTTCAACGCTTTAAAATGGTGAAGATAAATGGATACATTTTTAGATTTTAATATAATTATGACGTCACTATTTCCTGTGGCGAATGTTTAAGCATAGATCGCAGCTTATAATTATTGTTAATTTAAATAGTATCTGATATGGACCAGTGACTTACGAACTTGTGAATTTCATGTATATATAAATAAATATTATTTTGTGTGCGTCAGATTTTAATAAAGAGAATGGCGAGTTTTCATGGAGCGCATTCACCCATTTGGGAATCTATGTTTGGATATGCGATAAGCCAGAATGATTACGCATCATAAAATTAGAATCATGGTATAATATGAGGATAATGAACTGTTGTTTTTCATTAAATAAGGATTGTCTGAAGCTTTTATAGCTTTGTAGCCACTCGCACATCATTGGCAGTCAAAGATTGCAAGGGGATAGCGCAAGGTAGACAAACAAACCTCTATGCTTTTAGTCTAGCTAGATATACCTAAAAAGCCGGCTTTTCAACATAAAAAATCTAGTCCCGTGTTACCATCTAATAAAAACCGTATCATACCATGCTCCTACTTTTATTGTATGTCTTTATACTGTGTGATTCTCTAGAGTTTAGACTATCACTAAATGAGACCTGAATTTCTGTTTATTGCGTTATTATAAAAACAACTAATAAGTGTGAACATCCACTCAACAAGATCGTACCATCAAATAACAATAATTTTAGCATAATCGCATTTTGATAAACGAAACAATTTAACATAGAAATAGTTAACCAAAGTGGATTAAAACCTTATTAAAGATAACCGACTCACATTTATTATTTTGTCAATGTACCATAGTATGTTTTTTCCATAAAAATGTTAATGATAAATTCCTGTTTTTTGTCACGTTTCTTGCATAATAACATCACAGTAATACGACGGTGACATAACAGTTTTGATAAGTTTAACCCTAGAATGTTTTGTATTTATATAATATTATATAAATATTGGGTGATAGTGCATCATGTTTGTGTATAACGAAGTTTTAGTCACTTTACTGATATCCATGCGAATGTACTTAGATAATGATTGTAGCTTCGTTTAGCTGTTAATTGTGGATTGAGTTGAATCCAAGTTTTAAGTATTTATGTGGAGAGAATAAAAACGATGATTTTATTGAAACTATTCATATATTTGTTCTTTTATGTATATTATCCTAGTTCTCTTATTATACTTACATACTGGAGGAGTGGTAGAGCATCAAAGTGATGTTTTTTAAGTGAAACTTATTTTCGGACGCTGTGTCTTTACATTAAAAAACCCAGTAAAAATATATCTTTACACGATTTTCTACTTTTCGTCAACGAGCTCGAAGTTCCTCTCGAGGTGGTGAGCCTTCTTCGCCCGGTACTCCATCAACTCGATGGTGCTGTAGCCGGTAAAACCAATCAGCAGGAGTCCTAAAAGTACCATCAACCTGGAATTTTACAAGAACTATTATTACAGCATCACAACAACGTATAATATACTCTATGCAATTTCTAGTCGCAAGAGCTGCTTATATTATGTTCCAAGAAAACCTCACTTGTCAATGCTCTGTTATTAATGGGTTTTTTTTTATTTTTTTATACTTAGCATTCATCATCCTCTCAAGATTTATCATCAATATTAGCCTATCAATGTCCTCACTGATGTTTGGTTGTATAAGCTTTTTTTATGGTTGGAATAGAAAAAAATGGGTCTACCAATCGGTGGGTGCTAATACTGCAGATGCAGCTAGGACCATCGGCTTAACGTGCCTCTCGAAGGACGAAGGAGCTCGAGGCAGTATCTCTTGGACACCTATCCTGTGACGAACCATTGTGACAAATATTTACTTTCCTCCAAAGCAGACTGAATGCGCTAACCACCGCACTGGCAAGATCCTATATCATATCAACATTACTGAAGTACTACTTCATATTTTGTCAGTTTTTCACAGTATATTTATAATTTACTCAGTTTTCCTGTACCTGTTAATATACCCACATTCGGGTTTACCTGCCTGGTTGGGGAAAATATCATCATCATCATCAGCCTATGAATGTCCCCACTGCTGGGGCACAGGCCTTCCCTATGGACGAAATAGGGAGATTAGGCCATGACCCACCACGCGGGTCCAGTGCGGATTGGTGGGTGCTAACGACTGCAGATGCAGCCGGGACCAACGGCTTAACGTGCCTTCCGAAGTACGGAGGAGCTCGAGATAGTAAATTTTTGGTCATCCATCCAATGACCGACCACTACGAAAGTTGCCTAACTTCAACGATCGCAGCCGAACGCACTAACCACTTGCGCCATCGGGCTCCTCTCGGGAGGAAAACATGCGAGACGCCAATTAGATCAAAACAGTCTCGCGTGGGACCAATGAAGGAATGGAGGTTTTGTTTTCGCTTTTAAATACAATTTTGAAATATGGAAAGGGGAGGGCTTGCCCAGACGGGGCAAGTCTCCCAGTTTTTTCCTACCATACCTTTTTATTATAATAAGAACTGCATCATACCTGGTCTTAACACATAAGTAGGGCGCTGTAGCATAGGAAAGCACACTGCCGGTTGCCTCCCACAACCTGAAGTTTGAGTACGCAGCTTCTTCATCTCCCGGGAATAGTATCCCAGACAAGGCTGTAAACAACAAATTGAAAATAATTTAATAACTTTATTTAAAGTGATTGTTTTACTTAAAAGCACAGCATTTATGTAGGTACTTTGTAATACAACTTGATGCGTACCTTATTACCTCACTTCAAGTTAGTAGGTTTAAATGTTGTGTTTAATTCCATTCATAAAGACAGACTGCCAACTTCTTCGACAAAAAACATAAAAATGGCAAAATAAATTTAGTCTCTCTTTCCTAAAACTTTATAAGCGAAATCCTAGATCCATGGCTTATTATAAAAAAATAAATTCTAGAACATAAATAGTTCTTATTTTCACTGAACTCTGTCAAGAATCGTACCTGATATTTCGGACACAACGGCAAAGCTAGAATTGATTGGTATGCAATCATGAAAATTATGAAAAAAAATGCTTCTAACAAAAAGTAAAGCCTGGAGTCTAGGTAGAACATACCCTAACGATGCCTACTCCTGAACTCAACAATCAATGTGTGTTTCTTAAGTTAGTTTGTGAACATTTTGGAATAAAAGTATTATTCTTACTTTAACCTGGCAATCTTGGACTTGGTTGCTGAAAACTTAAAAGTGGAGACGATGGATTGCAAGCGTGTATTTACTAACTCATTTTAACAGGAGTAATTCCATATTTGGTAATTCTCACCGTTAACTTGCACGAGCCACACAGCATCCGCAGTGCCCCACACGGCAGCCAGCGCGTAGAACACTAACCACTGCTGGGGATCAGGCCTCCACAACAGCAACGCCGTCAGCAAGCAAAGATTTAACAGCTGACAAAGGAACAAAAGAGATTTTATCAGTAGAATAAATTACAAAACAAATTTCTGGGGAACAAAAATATGGGTCTTATAGATAAAGCAATGTTGGGGCAAGAATATATCATCTGTGATAAGTTGTCAGTTGTTGTACACACTAATAATAATTGTGATATTGGAATTTCAGCGATTGTGTAGTATAACCTGTCTGTTATAAATATATATGGTGTCCTCATCATCACCACTTACTTACTGGTCACTCACTGGGCTTTTCTTATAAATTCACACCCAGCAGGAATTGATTAATGACCACCACTTCAACAATTGGTTACGACCCCACTCCACTACCGCCATCAAAATGTGAGTAGACTTGTATTGTAGCGACATGATTTTAAGTAAATAGTTGCTACTTCTGTTAAATGCCGATGAGTTTTTGCGCCCATTCTTCTCATCAGCAAAAAGATGTCCTGAATAGGCTGGTAGGAAAAAGTATTGGACGACTCAAAAGAGCTTCCAATACGTCAATTTAAATAAAGTTTAATTTCATTTCATTGGTAGTAGTGGTTCATTACGATCAAGATTCGTTTTCCCGCGCGCCTATGATATGCGATAAAGAGCGATTAAGTCTAGAGAGACTGCATAGACTCCTGCAATAGTACCAATATGGCTGGAAACAACAGTGCTGAATGTCTGTCTGCTCTCAACACCAGCTACTCCGACAGTGCTGATTTGCCATCAGATCGCCTTCAATAATCAAAAACTATCTTTGCCTTTTTGGCAGACCTCTTTTATCTAGATGAAACAGCCAGCAGCTAGTGTATTCCAACATAGGAATCGGGCTTTAATGGAATATTTTTATTTAGCAATAAAGTATCTTACCAGTGCAGTGACCATAACTGGAAATCTTCCTGTGACTTTCACGATAGCCCCTGCAAGTGGGGCTGCTATTGCGTTGAAAACACCAAAGCAAATCATCACGTAGCCGATGTTGCTTATACCATACGCGCAACCCACGAACGCCTGTGAAGAAATCATCAGCTATATTACACTATTCCGTTATGTGTAAGCAAACAGTGATGTCGATTCTGGCATGATTCTCTAAAACTAAACTTAAATTTGACAACAGTGCATCCTTGTCTTTCTCTATACAGAATGAAAAGGTGAGACTGACCTTAAATTTAGTTTTAACTTAAGAGAATCACTCCAGAATTGACACCATTGTCTATTATTTTAACTATCGAAATGAAAAGCTTATTTAAAATCTTAAAGTTGATTTTGTTCCGTTTGAAAGTAGGATCAAGTTAATATTTCCAGTACTCTGTGGTAGAAGATTGAATTCAGGCCAATCAGGTGATAGGATCTGGAATGGCATATTTCTCTGTCGTATCAGCTATACTCACGTTTAAGATCAGGTGAAGTGGAATGGAAAGAAGGAGCTCGATAGTGCAGTGTTATTGCGTTATGCTTCAATCACAGTAGATAAGCAAGTTTCTCAATGGTTGGTCATAGGGACAAGAGACCAAATTTATTATCTTCAGCTCCTCCATGCTTCAAAACTGCGTCAAGCCGATGGTCTGCATTACGTCTGCAGTTGTTACCACCAATGTGTACTGGGCCCTCATGGCCGGTTCTCCTTATTCCACCCATTGGGAAGGTCTGTGCACTAATTGTGGGAACATTAATAGGCTGATAATGATGATGATAAGGTGGAAGAATTTACTGGATCCTAAGAAGTCTCCGTCCACCTAGTGAGGGAGCTGACGACAGTAGATGTGAAAGTAACCGTAATGGGAGGAAATCCCTAGAGGTGGCTTACGTATAGCCGTAGACGTCTGTTTGATGAACTGTAATCATTTGCTGGGTCCTTAGAAGTCACCTGGGTAAAGTCAGCCGTCATGAAGGCCTATTAGGCACCCAAGTTTCCAATTACTGGCAGCAGTAGCAGCTGGTAATTGTGTTGCAGTTGCCGCAGCCCAGATTTACCAATGCATATGGTATGCCCAGTAGTGAGGACATTAATATACTGATTATTTACCATTAGGGTGAAGAATGGAGATGGAATAATTTACTGGATTCTAAGAAATCACCTGAGTAAAGTCAGCAGCCATGAAGGCCTGCTCGGCGCCCAAGTACCCGATGACTGGCAGCAGCAACAACTGGTACTTGTGTCGCAGCTGACGCAGGGTAACCGCCAGCAGGCGCAGACCTGTTTTACCAGTGCATGTTGTGTTACGACCAGCTGTGTACCTGGTTATATGAGGAAAATTAATGTAGGGTGATACGAGTATGATATACCTACGGCAATTGAGTTATTACTCAATTCTCGTTTTTAAGATCAACAATTACTAAATCAAAATTTGCTAAATCACAATTTAACTAAAACTTGTTAACTACATTGACATTTTCACACTTTTCTTTGGGATAGATAAAGTTTCAGTTGAATCAAGATTCAGTAAAGGAGATTGCTCAGCTTCCATACATGTTTGGCCTAAAGACCAATAATCATGAAAAATTGTTTCCTAGATTCGAAATTATATATAAATTACTGTAGAAACGAATATTATTCACGGACACTCCTGAGAACTTCTATAACACTGAACATATTAAAATAATAAAAAACAAATAAGTTATATAGTAAACTAGGGAAATCAAGCCAAGTACCGAAATTATGGATTAGATTCAGGTATATAGAGCATGTAGATTAACAGATAGTTGCCTGTTTTTAAAGTTAATGCGTAAGAGTAACTTTTAAAATGAGGTATCATTTCCGGTTATAATAAGGTACTCTGTGACAGAAACTGTGTGATGATTGTGAATGAGCCACAGATTAGAGAGAATTTTTAAACTCTCGTTAACTAAAGAAAGCTAAGAGATTTAGGTTCTATAGCCATATATTCAGTACCTTCATTATTTTTGTTGTTTTTAAGATAACCATAGTTTAGACTTTTAGTGTATCACACCTTTAATTTTATTTATTTATTTATAGTCAGGGAACGTAGGCCCATAGATAGATACCTTAAAGTCTAAACATATATACAGATTATAATGTGTACTTGGAGGTATTTGGCGAAAAATGTATGGTAATAGACTTTATGATGTCGCCTACCATCTATAATAATTGTCTGAGCACATTTGCATCTAGTGAAAATGATAATATAGTTGTGAATATGAATACCACAGTATAATAAAAAATGATTTATTTTATCGATCTTTACAAAATAGATTTGTTTTGATGTTATATAAACAACTTCGATCAGTCTTTGGCTGAATGGAAATAATCCTAAGAAATTATTGAAAAGAATAAATGAAAATATTGAAATAAAAATAAATGTTGATCCATTATTTGAATTTTTATTATTAATTAATATTTTAAATTCTCTGCACCCATAGCCATTAAAAATGATTCGTGTGTTTTCCAAACCGGTAAAATTAAAAGTCCTTTTTAAAGTAAATATATTATACAAAGGTGTCCGTTGAAATATAATGACTGTAAATTAAATTATAAATAACGCCAAGAATTACCGTGTATGTTAATATTTTTTGTGCATTTGGGCCAATTTGAGCAATCTCCTTTGCGTAATACTAACGCTACAATATACTTAAATATAGTAGCGGTAAGAATTTGAGAGAAACCACAAGGAAATTAGCTTGCGCATTAGACGTGTTCATGTACAGGGCGTCCCAGGGCACACGGAGGGAAAGTATAGTAAATATTGATGACAGGATATTTTACTGAAGGAAGAGAAGATCTCAAGAGGTTTCAGTGTATATATGTTACCGGCCAAACCCGATTTCAGGACAAACTAGTTTTGCCTAGGCTAAACTACTTCTTCCTTTACGCGATAGGATTAACTAGTATAGCCTAGTCCAAACTAATTTGTCCTAAGCCCGATAGGATAAACCAGTTTAGCCTAGGCCAAACTAGTTGATCCTGATATAAATACTCACACTCTAGGATAAACTAGTACGGCCTAGTCTAAACCAATTTAGCAGAGTCGAAAGTAATTGAACAAACATGTCAGGACTTGTACAGGTCGCGTCGTGTAAAAAGAACGCTGGAAGAAAGTGGAGGGAGTGTGTATGCGCATGGGTACACTCGCAGAGATAAGTAAATAGCCTTTTGTTTTGTGAGATGTAGCAGCAAAAAAAACTGTTCCACAAACAGATGCCAATGTTGGCAATGATACTCTGCAATTCTAAGTGCCACCAAAACACAACATATAAAAATAAATAACAATTTTAATAATTGAGTTATGATTATCCATAGCTTTTAACGATGAGTCATTAACGTCCAAAAAAATATATTTTTCCAATTACGGAGTATTTTATTCAGTTTATCTATTTATTTTGACTTTCTAGATATATATATACTATAATGTTTAGACTAGTCCATACTAGTTTATCCTAGAGTATGCGTATATATATGAGAATCAATTAGTTTGGCCTAGGCTAAACTGGTTAATCCTATCGGGTTTAGGACAAATTAGTTTGGACTAGGCTATACTAGTTAATCCTATCGCGTTTAGGAAGAAGTAGTTTAGCCTAGGCAAAACTAGTTTGTCCTGAAATCGGGTTTGGCCGGTAACATATATATATATATATTTGTTTTTCTCTCAGTCCGAGTAAAAAACAATTAATTGGAAAACCTGCTCAAGCCTGGTTGTCTTCAACTAACCATAATTAACCTTCTATGGTATAAGTCTTACGTAGACTTGGACTAAGTATTCGTTATCCGAGGATTTTTATTTATATATAAAATAATTACTTTTTAAAAAAGATGGATAGGCATGCGTAGAGTATGATATGATAAAGAAAGTAAATATTGAGATGACATCTGATTGGTAAGAATAGTAGAGAAAAACATTGGTATTACGCCGAAACAAAATTAATTAGACAGGCGAATGATTTTCTATAGCCAACCTATAAAAAATATTTTATGTACTTTGGTATATTACTTACATGCACGAGGCTATAAGTCCCTTTGTAGTAGGTACAAGCATGAATGGGGCAACAGCACGATTATATAATACATCGTTTATATGCAGTACAGATCATCCTCGAAAATCAAAGAGTCTTATATGAATTTTAACTACTTCCTATACAAACGTATATGCTAATTGTAAACTTATTATCAATCGGACCAACCTGGTCAGTGAATCTACTCCGAGAGCAACCAGTATAACTGCGAAAGCCATACAAGTCAAGTATACGCCAGCAATCACTTGGATCTTGAGGGGAGAAGGTGGTTCCAAATTAGTATTTTCCTGGAAATAAATGAGCATAATGTACCTTTATAAGAATACGTGATTCTTGCACATCAGTTTTAATGGCGTCGCCAATACCTGGATCCGATTCTCTGAGTTTCCTCTGCTAACTTTACTAAGAAAAAATATTAATAACTGAAAATTTACGGTTCGTTCGTTGTTTACTTTTAGCATTTGCTTAGAGGTGAAATTAATTGCTTTCTTTTAAAAATTTCTAGAAAAGTTTAACGAAGAGAAATGAACATAAAACTGTAGGGCATCCTTCATAACTGATCTTTTGCACATATTTATGGGCAACTAGGTATCCTACTGGATGACTCATTTGCTACCTATTTTTTATAAAGAAGGAATCTATGTCTTCACATGTGTCCACCTTTTGTGTTATAAAAAATATTAAGGGGTAAAAGATCAAAACTTACATGTGACGCGCTCCCACTGCAGAAGTTGACCCCGCATGATGCTCCCACATCCATCGAAGGCAGGGTCACATTACTCGGCAAGCTCTCCAGAAGTGACGTCACATTTGAATAAGAATCTTCGCCCAACGAAGACGACAAAACTGAATAAGTAAAAAGATTTAATAGCTTCTTAATAACAAGAAAACCGTCCGTCTGGGGAAGTAACCTCCACCATACAAAAGATTGTGGTGAATCTGCAGGTTTGGAAGTAGGGGATGGGCTCAGGTTATGCCAAGAGCCTTTAGGCTCCTGTGACTTTAAAGCCGCTTTCCAGCAGTTGAACCATACGCTTGTTTACCACTTTACCACATGAAAAAAATGGATTTCAGTTTGAAAAAAATATGGTATTCAGAAACTAGTTATAACCGATCAATTTTATATTAGGACCACAGAACACAGAAACAGGTGAGAAGGGTGATCATAGACCGTTTGTAGAGGAACCGATGTCGCCGGCTCAACCCCCACTAAACTTCCACCTAATAGACTATAGCCAGTCAAATAATGCGACATCAAATAATCGAACCAATCAGCGCTCACAACCGAGAGCAACGACGCAATCAGAACCAAGTTTTGGTCAAGTTATGAGCATTTTCTCACACATAACTGTGGCGCGCCCACAAGGCCCTTCTAACCTCTTTCTGTGTTCTGTGATTAAGACGGCGAGAAAAGAGTTGGATTAACTACAGAGGCAATATTTTGGCGTTAGAGCAACATTTTGAAAATCGAAATTTGCATTGGTATTCTAGATAATCCTTACTTCGCTAAGTAGTAGTTACTGCTTACGAATTTCGACGTTGTCCTGACCTGGCATATTTACATGTAAATTTATCACAAGTATGGATATGATCCTGTATGACCTTCGCATACTGATAATTGATATTCCAACTTCGTAAACCCAAAACGATTATGTGAGTCGTGCGTAATGCGGCGGCTACTTATTGAAATTATATTTGATTTTTTATGACAGCTGATTATGCGAGTGCTTGAACGATCTTTATTCCTTTTTTAGAAATTAGTCCAAGCCCTACAATAAATATTAGCCTATTCGGTGTCGAGGCCCTTGGTCCGTGGGGTCCTTGCACTGTAAGGTTTTTTAAGGAAATATCAAAAAGGTTAGTCGACATCACTGGAGACCGAAGAGCTGGCAGCTTCCTCGGACAAAGAATTAGTTTCACTATTCAAAGGGAGAACGCTGCCTGTATCTTCGGAACCTTGCCTTAAGAGTCTCCTTTTAATAATATATTTTAATTATTATATTATATTTTATTATTTAAGGTTTTTAGTTTTAAGTTCATCGTTCCTGTATAAAACAAATATTTTATTATGTCTTTAGAATTAATATTATAGATCGGAAATACTAAGAATATGTTGGAATGACATTTTTTACATCTTCTTAAGCCTAGCCTAGGGCACCTTAATTAAAGAAACACCACAACTGAAAAAACTATTTTTTTTTTTTTTTAACAGAATGATTAAGTATTTTTTTGCCGATAGCTTGATGTTTACCAGTTTACCTCTTTTTTAACACACATTGAATTGTTATTTTTGATTAATATGTTATTATTAAAAAATATACACAGCGCTTGAACATAGATTAGGCTTTCGATCTTGATCGCCGCCAGTCCTACTTTAACATACATAGTTTTTATCGCCACCTTCGCAGAGTAGAACATCATTCGGCTAAGTTCACGATACATCGATTAATTAATTTTAAAAGTACAGCATAGGGGCTACATAATTATCCTAACCAGCCTAGCGGCTAACGGAATTCGGAAAAATAGTTAGACCAATTCCTTTTCGACAAATTTGATTCTAAGACTAGTCGAAAATCTCATGATACTTACTAGATGAGGATATGAGATTCCCCCAGATCTGCGCCATCTGGTAGAACATGAAAAAAAGCCCGAAGAAACGCATCACCAGCACATCTACTGACACACCGGAGAGCTTCGCGTAAGGTTCTGCCACCTACAACAGATAGTTCAGAGAAAGGTTCACTTCATGCAATATCATTTTCATTAGTTCCTAAGGTTCTTAGTTCATATTTTAGAATCAGCGACTGAAAAAAACGTCTAACCCGACTCTATGCTAGGCTAAGTTAGGAGCTACTCTCCGATACTCCACGAAATTGCTTCACGTTTCTATTAGAGAACCTCAGAAAAAACATCGGCAAAACTGTACTTTCTGGGCCCCGGAGGTAACACTTCTTTTTTTGTTGAAAGGTATCTATTAATAAAGTTTTTTCTAATAACAAGACTAACATAATCTAGTGTTAAGTATCAACTCGTGCTCCTAGAAAGTACTGTTTAGTCAAAACATCGAGAATAGCTGTTATTGCTCTTCTCATGCACCTGTCGGTGACTAAGATATTTTATAGAAGGCATACAAACTTATTTCCTGCCAGAAACTAAGTCAGCTATGAAGGACATATACAGATGATGATAGGTGACGTGAGATACTCACCACAGAGAGGTATGTGCACTTGGCACACCACAGCGGGCCTCCACCGAAGCCCACCATCATGCCGGCTGGCACCAGAGTGTAGAGGCGCGGGTAGAACTGCGCCACTATGAAAGGCATGTACGAGATGAATGACAGCGCCACCGTCCACTTGCAGCCGAGCCATCTGGACAATTCAAATTTTCTTTTCAGTTTCTCTCTGCTTATCCCATCCGGGACACGAAATGTAGATACATAGATTATTATTTTATGATGCAACCCTGCCACAATTTACTGTGAATGGGAGAGGTATATAACGAGATTCGCACATTGCACCACGTGTTCTTACTTTCCTTGAGAGTAATTATCTTTGCCTTTACTACACTTTTAGTGCAATACACAGAATAAGCATTTACGCGTAGAGTAGCAGATCACACGTATTATTGCAAACAAACGCGCGTTTGAACGGTAAAATGTGCATGATGGATGATGCAGATATGCACTGCTGCAAGCACGCGCGTGGCTCTCTCGCCACGCACTCCGCAGCGCTGTGCAGGGCAGTGTGAGAATCACTAAAATGATAGGAGATTTGCTATAGGGAATGGACTGAGCGTACCGTATCCAACTGTAAAGTTAGGCTGGGCAGAGAAGCGTGAGAGACACAGAGCGATCGTGAGGCAAATATGTATGGAATGCATCATCGCTTTCTTTGGTACTTCGTGGTGTGGGAACACCTACGAGACGAGGCTATGGTACTAAAATGGGCTAAAATTAGCGTTTAAATTTTTAATTACTTGCATAGTACTTCGTGTCGAAACTTCGGGTGCCTTTGTTACGAAATTCGCTAAAATTTGTGTTCGAACTTAAAAATGAAGTACACTTCTTCTGCTGCTCATACAAATTTATCGCATCCCACAACCTCTTTTAAATCAAAAATCGTCAGACAAGCTATCGGCCAGCATCTATAGACACGCAGCCTGATAATTCTTTACGATAAAACTAATTCAAACGCCAATTTTAGCGCATTTAGTGCTAAAGCCACCCAAAGCTCCGTCGCGAAAGTGTGGAAGATGCATGACCGATTGCTTTATTTCAGGTTTGATTTGAAACCTCCACAGTACAAGTACATGAACCTCCGATTTATAACTTACGCTGTTTACTTGAATATATTCTATGCTTACACACTTAAGTTAAACAATTTAACAGTCTGATAAAGTCAATCGTGACAACCAAGCCAACACTAAAGGTCACGTTAAAGTGACCTTCGAATACCAGATGCAATTGCAATCTCAAGTTATTAATTCATATTGTTTGTATTAAATAGTTGTTTTAAGATATCCTCGTTCCATGCAGTAGGCGTTAATAGCAATCAGCTGTGATGTTATTTTAACTTACCTATTTACTACAGTATGTAAGTTATATTTAGTGATATTGAAGTTGGAACTAAGTATTGGTTTTTCCGGCAAGTTCACCTTTTGATAGTAATATTCTGTTTATTTATGAATGAATAAGGAAGAAGACAATACTTTGTGCAATGCTCAGTTATAATTGAAATTGGAAAATTACTTAAATTAGAAGAGGCTTCGATCTATAATAGAAGAAAGGGGACATCTCTCATTCAGATTTCTCATCAGGTTGTTTATCTAGGTGAAAGATCCAGATTATACTACCGCTAGCGAGTAGAGCCACTGGAGTGATCGCTCCAGATATTAAGTAGCAAGGGGCAGGAAGAAGTCGAATTCGAGAAACTTTTCATCAGAAAAGAGAATTTACGTGAGATGAAAGCATCGACCTTAGGTCGCTGAAAGACAATCTCGCTCTACGCCGATCAAGTGGTTAGGCCAGTGCTTTTTCAGAAAAACTTATCCTAATATTATTATAATGTGAAAGTTTTTATGTTTGTTACTCAATCACGCAGGAACGGCTGAACGGATTTGGATGAACTTTTACACACCTGGATACCTGGAAAGCGGGGCCGGTTTTTTTAACACTTCTTATCCCGAAAAAGTGTTGGGTTCCTGAGGAATTTTCAAAAAACTAAAGTTAAGGCGGACGAGGTCACGGGCAGTTTATAAATAAATGAGACCTTTCGTAATGGTGACAGGTTCCCCGGATTTCAATATGACATCTCTATGGTAGTGAGGGTTTTGTGATTTCACTATTGTTCTGTGTCCAATGCGGCGGTCGCTTTACAAAATGTTATTGCGTTCATAACAAGAATGGAGTAAGTAAGCTATTAATGTCACCACGTCTGATAACATAATGTGGCGTTACAAATTTAAGGTTTAGTCTCATTGAATCTCGCATAAATACGTTTTGTATATCATGTTTCAGCGACTGTTAGATTCAACTTTTTCAACTTAAATAAAATTTATTGGTGATGCGTAACTTTTTCCGAGAAGTGAACAAAGAAACCTGGGTTATTTTTATAGTTATATTTTTATATTATAAAGAGGAAAGATTTGGAAGATTGTAAAAAATAAACTCAAAAAACCGTCCAAGAGCGTGTTGTGCCGTGCGTTCCGTAGTTGCCTGTAGTTTCCACAATATATTTGAGGAGGACTCTTTATTTTCTATATCGGAAATTAGAAAAACCAATTAATATCAATCTATGTATCTAAGCTAAAATACAGTAAAATCTCCTTATTCGCGGGATATCTATGTGTTCCGGAAAAAAATGCCGCGAATACAGAAACCGTGAATATGTGATAATTTATATGGGATTATAGGAGATACGTTCCTAGATGACAAATAAAATATTTTTAATTAAATAATTTAATTGAAGGTATTATTGGCTTGGTCAAGGGCTTGAAGAACTCTTACTTTGAAGCGTTAGCACTGATTTTTTCGCGTCCGAACGAATTTTTGTTTTCTTTCTCGACATTATAAATATGGAACACAGCGGAAGAGCCGTGTTACTCGGCTCGGAAGCGGCTCTTACCAAAGGCTATGCCCGAACGTCTAATACATATATTTGGTAGCATTAAACAATATTATGTTTTACATAAACATTATTCTGTTTGTCACATTCTCATAAACACCGACTGTTGATATCACAATAATTCAAAATGAAAACCCATAAAATTTATGGCGGCAGCGGGAATGGTAGTGTTTACATTTGAAATTCGAAAAACATATTAAGACTAAAACCTCACAAAAGAGCTCGATCCCCACCTACCTACTTACAATTAATGGCCTGCGCAGGCGAAGGGCTTTGAAGGCTGGGCAAAAATTTCCGCCGAGGACTTGTCATGGACTCGATGCACACGATGTGCGAACATTTATCCCCCAAAAATTTAGAAAAGCCTACGCTATAGCACACCATATAGAATAAATATTCTCAGATTGCGTCGTGGTGTAATAAACATGAAGTTTAAGAAAAGACAAGATGTTTGAATACAGAATACTGGGTCCATCTTTTTAAGTCGGATCAAGCGCAGAAACTTCGCTATGTTGCTGCACCTAGTCACATGAGTTCTATTTTTTGGGGACCAGTGCGTACTTTTGTTCTGTCCGGTCTCTCGGTGTCCTCGGTTGTTCGGGGGACTTTTTGTACGCGCTACTAATGCAACAGTAAGCGAACTATTTAAGCGGACAGAAGTCCTTCGTCTGCGCAGGCTATTATTTGTATCGACCTCTTTTGTGAGGTTGTAGTCTTAATAGGTTTTTTAAATTTCAAATGTAAACGCTACCATTCCCGTTGCCGCCGTAAATTTTATGGGTTTTAATTTTGCATTATTTAGCATTTGTAGTTTTTCAGATATACTTACTTTATAACGACTGCCGGCAGCAGTATATTGGACAGTATGAGTGAGAAGTATATGGCGGCCAGTGTGAACGTGCCTGCGCCCGCGTCGCTATTGACGGAGCTCTGCAGGTTGGCCGTGCCGTGGAACGCCGTGAAGTGCACCATGAACGCAAAGCCGAGCACCAAGATGTTGCGGTTGATGCGCAACTTCTCGCGGGACGTGAAAACCGGAGCATCGGCCATTTTCTGTCTGATAAAATCGGATTCAATGTGTATGAATTTGACGAATGAGTTCGTTAGCACAATTGGTTAGCTCGTTTGGTGGAATCGTAGAAGTTAAGCTACTTTTTCAATGGTCGGTCATCGGCTGACCAATATCTTGAGCTCCTCCGTGCTTCGAAAGGCATGATAAGCTGTTGGTCCTGGCTTCACTTGCAGTCGTTAGCACCCACCAATCATATAGGTCATTGATGGCCTAATCTCCCTATGCCATCCTGTTACACATTGCGCCAGCATCTTTAGCAGGACAGACGTGACTTTATATTATTTTCATACCTTATAAGTATTAACCTAATACACACAAGTACGTATTGCGTAAAGCCTATTTCACTTAAAACTACACTGTAATAACATTTCAAAAATACTATACTATGTACATTAGAATTCCGACGCGGCGGCGGCGTCAGTGAGTCTAGTCTTATCAAGGTTTTCTTGGCCATTACCACAAAAATGACTTTGTAAGTATATAATTTTTTGCATGGGTCCCATATACGCAGAATCAGCGTTTAATTGGGCTTGTTAAATTTAGAAGCGGAACAATGTCCCCAACAGCTCCCTTTCTCTGTTTGACATTCAAGGATACCTATTCAAAACGATTGTAAACAGAACCGGTTAAATGTCGTTATAATTTAGTTTATGCCACAATGCAGTTAAGTTATATTACTTACTTACTCATATTTCTTTAATAAAACATAATTGTCGGTAGGTATATTTCACATCTAGGCATAGAGCAACACGGAAGGGAGGAGCCATAGCGACAAAATACTATTCACATCATTTTACCATTTCTTGCGGGGAGAATATGCACACAAACACAGTTTAAAACGTAAATGAGTATAAAACAAAACTGTAATTACGACACTTATACCTAAACAATGACACAGTTCCTACACCGCCAAATCCTGCACACATATATGGTGTGTATGCCCAATTCGACCAAGGGGAAAACTGTGTATGCTCCCTCTTCACCTCTGCTGGCCGCTTCGGCCGTGTTGCAACTAAACATTATTTTTAATTTTATATAAATTAATAAACGAAGAATAAATTTTGAGACATTTAGACAATGTCCAACTTCTGTAATTTTATTTGAGTGCTATAGTGAAATTATTAGGTAACTCGTCCCAAATAAACTGACTTGGTATTACATGCATCTCACAACTTTTTAAGGTAAAATAACTGAGTTGCGATATATGATTTTTTTACACGTTATGTTTCTGATGTCTTCATTTATTCTCAGCCATGGATGATACAATACATGGTAGGAAAGGGTTCAAAACGGAAGTAAGAATAAATCAGTTTGGTTTATCAAGATAGCCCTGTTTCTAAGTGCCTTGATTCTTAATAGGCCTTCTTCCTAAGTGCCTAGATTATTAGTAGGCTATATTCTTTAAGGCTGCAAAATTTGTGTCATAACAATAAAAAAATACGCACGACAAATGACAATTATTTAATATCAAAATAAGCAGCGTCTGTATCATAGAGCAAGCTATGGTTTGTACTAATTAAACAATATCCTACTTCTTTTATTTTTATTTAGAACACGTGCAGTGATTTTCAATACACAATTTATGGGAGAATGGGCCTTGCTTGCTTGGTGCAGATGACTACAAATGCAGCCGGGACCAATGGCGTAACGTGACTTCCGAGCTCGAGATAATACATTTTTGATCACCCATCCGATATCCTAAAGATAAATCCATAAAAAAATCCATTTACGAAAGTTTAGCTAGAGAAACGAACAGTGCACTTTTGTAAATATTATTACTATAGGGGTTTCTAACTAATAGCACTTTTGTTTGAGATCTTTATAAAACCTATTGATATAAAATTCATTCTTATTTTTTTGTATATAGCGAATATATATTCGCAAACCAACCCACATACTTACGATTCATCAACATTGAAAGCATTAACTAAATACAATATGTAATATTATACTACATGTCGCTTTCAATGGAATATCGTACTGTTATTGAATATCCTACAGTTCCGCGTTCCAACTCTATGAGGTTTAATGTGATTTACGTGCTTTTTCAAAGTTCTATCCAGCTATATATCATCATAATTATATACTAATATCAACTCAAGTGGCTTCCAATTCGTCGTCGCCGGGATACTCATATACTTTCCCTTCTTTACAATGTTTTGTTTAATCCCTCTTATCCCAATTATCTTAAAGAGCTTTTCAGTTTTCTCCACTGTTTCCACTCTCAGTCTTTACGCTCATCAGAGAATTTGAGCCTTAAAAGTCCATCACATAATACCACCTATTATAAATATTCTTTTTGTGTTCAAGCTGTGCACCTCTGGAACTCTCTCCCCGTTAACATCAGACTTGCCCAGACGATTGGTTTATTTAAGAAGCAGATAAAAGATTTATTCCTTTCACAGTAGTTGTTTGTGTTGTTCCAACTGTGTGTATGTACGTTTGTATGTATATGTCTCTCTACTCATTTATTTAATATTTGTATACTTGCATAGTAGATATTTATGAGTATGTTTAATCGTGAATCTTTTATTGTAATTATTTTTATTTGTTATATTAGCACACCCCCTCTTTTATTAAATTTTATCTCTCCATCCTATGGTTGTCTGGCAGAAATTGCTATATAGCGATAAGACCGGAAATTGTTCACTATTTTAAGTTTTGTCCTAGTGTGTAATATTTAATGTGGTGTGCACAATAAAGTGTTATCTATGTATCTTATATTTACTAATCATTTTAACGTGACCTTATTTGTTATTAAAAAAAATCATCGAAAATTTATATGATCAATTGTATCAACAATGTTTTTACCTAAGTAACTACGGTTTTATTTTAATCCTAAAGTCATTAACACTAAAATGATTATGTATAATGACAAATCTTAATGATGTTTTAATAGTTAGTTACTTCTACAGGTACGTACAAATCGTCAATAATTAGAAATGAATATTATGTTAACTTATAAATACTGCATTGAGAATACTTACTATATCGTATTTATTTAGTTTCATTCCAATTCTCTCTCTAAAGACCGCAATTAAGTTTAGATATTTTATGAACCTCCGCCTTATATCAAACCACAGTAAAAAACAATAACATTTTAGTAATGTTGTTTCTGTTGACAAATAAGGCTCTAGGTTTCCACGGGGTAGGTGATTGGATGTACGGAAGGCGGCGGAATGAAAGAAAAGAATAACTGAACTTTTTATTAAAATTATATATAACTTAATATAATCATCTCAATTTCTTTCTCTCTTCCTTTTCTCCTTCTTTTCTCTCAATTTTCTGCATTGTAATCAATTTGCTCACATCTCATCAATCGATATATTTAACTGTTCACTCAATCATTGGAAAAAAATATGTACACGATATGATATGAATATAGCTCATAATTATTAATTGTAACCTACAAAACTTGTAACTTTTTTTTATTGGTAAAATTATCAACGTTTTCTTTTTCCTTCTCAATTTTAACTATCTGAACTCCTTTATATGTTTTGTGGAAACTTTATTGGTGTATGTTTTGTTAATTAGATCTAGGTATAAGTATGAATTCATTGTTTGTTTCCCAAATAAAGACAAAATAAAAAAAATGTAGAAGCATTGTTATTTGTAATACAATTTATGTTACCTCATTTAATATAATATGAGAAATTGACCTCCTACTTGACTACAGCATATGGGTGAAATATAAAGGGGTAATTTTTTTGTACGATGCGCAACAAATTACCCCACCCAACCTGATGTTAAGAGTAAGTGGAGTCCAGTCGCGAAGATAGACGATGCTGCAGAAGGTGTGGCGCTCCAGCCATCGTCATCTTGTCGGCCTGACCCCGATTCCCTACCCCGCGGAGCCCTAGAACCATACTCACCAGCAGAAACACAACACCACCAAAAGGTAGTGTTAATTTGTTATAATACTGGTTGCTACAATCTTAATTCTATACTTAAAGTTGACGGTGGCACTTTGTAATTATTTGATGTAAAATTTTGACGTACTTCATAACAATATACTTTCCCGTTTACAAGTATATTTTAACTTTTAAGAGACCGGACGGTATGAGTTTGGTTCCATGGAAGATGGGTCGACTGCTAGTATGGGATGCAACCTGTTCAGACTCGCTGGCCCCTTCCCATCTACATGGAACCAACAACAGAGCTGGTGCGGCTTGTGAAGCGGCTGAAAAAGCTAAAGCAAGCAAATACAGGGGTCTAGGCTCCGAATATGATTTTGTCCCATTCGGTGTCGAGACCCTTGGTCCGTGGGGTCCTAGCGCTTTAACGAAATAGCAAAAAGGTTAGTCGACATCATAGGAGACCGAAGAGCTGGCAGCTACCTCGGACAAAGAATTAGTCTAGCTATTCAAAGGGGGAACGCTGCCAGTATCTTCAGATCCTTGCCTAAAGGGCCCCCTTTAATAATATATTTTCCTTATTAATTTTATTTTTAAAGGTTTTTAGCTTTAGTTTTATTGTTCTAGTATATATATTATGTTATTAGATTGTTGTTTTAGAAAATATATATAGTCCATTTTTAACTTTTATTTCATATATTACAACACTCCAGCTCTATACCATCTAAATTTACCACATATTTTACTGTGATCTTCTGTAAAGCGGAGGTTACTTCTCCAGGCCGGCGCTCCAATTCGAGCGAAAACCCGCTGTAAAGGTAGGTTAATGCTAATGCAATGCATTATGCCCTAATTATAATAATTAGGGCATAATGGTTAAAGCTCCAATTATTATAAATGCAATTTATAGGTAAAAGGTGTTTTCTTTTGTATACAATCACGCTGAAATATTAAATACCTCAAAGATACAAGGTTTTTTAGAAAAGCGCTACTGATCTGATTTATCCGTTTTAAAATACCTACTATTTCTATGATATAACTAGGCTTCTATGGAATCTAGGGTAAATATTTTTACTAACTTACATTTTGTTGTGTTGTTTTCTTGAAATAAAAAAAATATTGACACCTTAACCACAATTAAGAGTTTTTCCGAATTGTTGACAAAAAATCATCACTTTCTAATTAACAAAACTCAACTTTCGATTTAAAAAAAAATCACTTCTTATAATTTTCGTTATAAATTTTTGTTTTCGCACAACAACTCCTCCGCAGTGTACTCCACGATCGAACTAAACTAACGAACTATGTTAAAGCGAAGGTCTCAAACGACCGATATGCGCGGGCGCACGTGTCCAATGCACTAGGATTAAGTTCGGTTACAATTCGATTCTCTCTGTCACACAGAGCTTAAAGTAAGTAGAGCTAAACTAAATTCAGAGTTATTATTTGTACTGGTTTCAACATAGTATTATTATTATAATTTTTATTTATTAAACATGTAACTGCTCGATGTTTAAATCTAAAGAAAACATAACTAGTATATTAATATTTCCTTATAAAGTATAGTTTTACTAGACCCCGTTCTAACAAAACGTCTACTTCAAGAAAGTTACAAACCAGTACAATTCTCGAATTGAAATCGTTGTAATGTCGCTACTATAAAGCCGATGAAATCATTTTCGTATTCACGCAAGTCAAATAAGGCGATTTTGAAGTCGCCCGATCGCAATGTAGTTTAACGGTATTCTGATAAACAACCATCACTAAATCTTTAACGAAATGGTATTCTCATAAAGAAAATACATTTGTTTCAATCTAACGGCAACGATTAAGGGGTGAAAGAGGTCGGGGTGGTCAGGGGGTCAGTAGGGTCGAAGAAACCTCTCGAGCTCACCTAACATGAAAATACCAATCGTCGGTTGGACTCGGATCAAGCGACTTCTCAACTACAACGATTTGTCGATCGGTCGTGTTTATGAAATATTTGGGTACTGAACCTAAAGTAAAATATTAAGACTTTCTTCCTCTGTACATAATTCCATTTATACTGAGAACAAATAAATTAATAACTTATTTATAAATAATTATATAGAAATAATTCTATCGTCACGTGACCGACCGTGGGATTTGGCAAAGACTTAAATAACACGATAGTGAAAGTTCTATCAGTTTAACCCTTTAGATTATGGCGTTTGACGAAGAAAAACCAACCTTTAATAAGCCAGACTCAGTATTTTGATTTTTTAAGCTACAATCTCACTTTGAATGTTTTTTTTTTTCATAAAATACTTATTTTCAGTTATTTATGAAAAATCGCTTAAAACGTGTTTTTCTATTTGTTGAAAATTTTACTTTTCCTCTCTCGAATAAGACAAAAAGGATTGTGTAGTAAAAAATTTATAAAACAGAAGTTGCTTAGGATTAGTCAAACTATCCATGTCCAGACTTATTTTTAATTAAAAAAACATCCACGATAAGGGATGGCGTCCACCACTAGGGAAATAACAACCCTCGGCACATCAACAAATTTAAAGTACACGGTAAATAGAACCCAATTCCAATTTTTGATGTTAATTGGTGCTTTTTGGCAGAATTCCAGAATTCCATTTTTTCCGTGGTCTATAATTTTTGAGACCAAAAAAAATTATAGTAGGATGGAACCCATTGGAAAAGGTAGAGAATATAACAAAAATGAAAAAAAAGTGAAATGGAATAGTTGTAGGTAATAAAAAGATTCCCAATCATACAGTAATTTTTTTGATTTAAAATATTAATTTTTTCACCTTATTTTGACTTAATAACTAAAAAACACCCTTATTTTCAATCGAAAATTCTCACGTCAAAATATCTGCTTTTTTAAAAAAGTTGGTGTGTTTTTTGTTTGTTGAAATTTCTACTTTCGGATGGTATAAAAAAAATATACACTACTATCGTAAATGTTCTCAGAAACTGCAAATTAATAATGAAAAAACACGAATCCGAATTTTTTTTTTTAGTCATCTACTATATAAAAATAAGTCGGGTTTTCCTTCCTGACGCTATAACTCCAGAACGCACGAACCGATTTCCACGGTTTTGCATTCGTTGGAAAGGTCTCGGGCTCCGTGAGGTTTATAGCAAAGAAAATTCAGGAAAATTTAAAAAAAAAATCGTTTTCTTTTAATCACAAAACGAAATGTTACATAAAACGAAGCTATCTGGTGGCGGAACGGAGTTCGCTGGGTTTGCTAGTTATGTATAATTTTGAGCTATTTATTAAAATTTCTACTTTAATTACTCGAAAAACGTAAGATTTCATGTTATATCTATTGTGTCGGCGTGATTGATAAACATATCTCCATAAAATTACAGCTCTCTAGATTACATTCTCCAAGCAAAACCGGGGATGGACAGACACGGACATGACGAAACTATAAGGGTTTCTTGTCACGACTAGGGAACACACATTGAAAAGCTCTAGCTTAAAAAATAAAACATGAAATACAGATAAATATAAAATTTAATATTGTTAACTATGAGATTACACTTTCATTCCGTTTTACAAATAGATTCAAGTTTTCGAAGAAACGAAAATTTCATGAAAATCAATAAGTTTTATAATAAGGTTTAAAATAAAACTCAAACAATACACGGGATCCTATCTATAATCATCACAGACGTATTATCTTATTTATATTTAGAAACCTATGGTTTACTAGAACTATAACAATAAAAACAAATACAAATAACCCTGACTTTTAACGGCTTATCCATTTTTGTTTTTAATTCAATACTTAAACTAATATTTTTGCTATCCATTTTAACGTAACTGTTCTCTCCTAAACTAATTACACTACTAATACTTCTGTATGAATAAATCCATCATCAAACAATAGATCACTGTTTGCTGTCTCGGAACTGTTCTGAGCACTAACATAAGCGACACGATCCACCAACAGGATTATCGAGCTGAAAGGGTCTTGGAAAATCAGGTATCACTATATCACACAAGAAGATATTTTGTTAAAACTATGACAAACATAATATTATTTAAACAATTTTTTTAGAACATTCCCAAATGTCGTGAATCACAATTCTACGTTCTGAAAGGCGATATTATCGAAGCCCTTATCTGTGCATGTTTCTTCTTTTTTCAATTTGAGTTGCTTCTTAGCTTTTCGATCTCTGTACTCTACAGTGTAATACAATACTACTCCTACAAACATCATGGCAAACATTAGGTAGGTCTTCTGACTGGTACGCAAGTATGGGGAGATGACGTAAGCGATAATGTAGCCCACTGATTCCCACAGTCTAAAGTTGGCGAAGGCCGCTTCTTCTCTGCCGGGGAATAGGGTGCCGTAGTAAGCTGTGGACAGAAATAGTTGGAATTAATATAATTTTGCAGCAGCAATGTTTCCTTTTCCAAAATTTTATTCTAAGCTAAATATTTACTAAAATTAACATTCTTTCTAGCTAAACCATTATTTCGCATATGTTGTCAAATTTTTCACTATTGACACCCTTCTCTCATTTGACATTTACATTTAGCCACTACCAAGGCCGTTTGTGTTGCTATAAAGTACTCGACAAAACACTACGCTAAGTGCAATGTGTTTACATTATCACACCGTATTGTTTTCCAATTCGACTTATGTATGAGGGATGAGAGAACTGTAGTGAGTACAGCACAGTCGAGCAGGCACAGCGGAGCACAAAATCGTCTTCGGGGGGAGGGCAGCGCGAGCGTCAGAATCAATGGAAGCGGCCTGTTTACATGTCCATTACTCAGTTTACGTACCATGTCCGTGGGTAATGGGTAGTCACACGGTCGGTAGGACCCCACAGCACGGCGAGTGCGAACATCAGCGGCGTCTGGCTCTATACAACAAGCAGGCGCTGCTAGTGTGAGTGGGGGGGGGGGGGCGTACCGTTGATCTGCACGAGCCACACGGAGTCGGTGAGTCCCCACAGCGCGGCGAGTGCGAACATCAGCGGCGTCTGGCTCTATACAACAAGCAGGCGCTGCTAGTGTGAGTGGGGGGGGGGGGCGTACCGTTGATCTGCACGAGCCACACGGAGTCGGTGAGTCCCCACAGCGCGGCGAGTGCGAACATCAGCGGCGTCTGGCTCTATACAACAAGCAGGCGCTGCTAGTGTGAGTGGGGGGGAGAGACTACCGTTGAGCCGCACGAGCCACTTGGGGGCTCGTGAGTCAACAGAGCGCGGCGAGTGCGAACATCAGCAGCGTCTGGTCTTATACAAGCACGCGCTGCTAGTGTGAGAGCGCGGGGGGGGCCTACCGTTGATCTGCACGAGCCACACGGAGTCGGTGAGTCCCCGCAGCGCGGCGAGTGCGAACTACAGCGGCGTCTGGCTCTATACAACAAGCAGGCGCTGCTAGTGTGAGTGGGGGGGGGCGTACCGTTGATCTGCACGAGCCACACGGAGTCGGTGAGTCCCCACAGCGCGGCGAGTGCGAACATCAGCGGCGCTTGGCCAGCGAGTGGTCGCCACGCGAGCAGTGCCACCATCAATGCCGTGTGCACCACACACGCTACGCTTATCATCATCACTCGACTTGTCAGCTGAAACCAAAGTCAGTCTTAATAACGACGAAGCTAGAGAGCAATGTAGAGCTACCAAAATGTAATAAACAATAGCATTAATTAAATCAGACAAAAAAGACGTAGTATAAGGAGTCAATTGTGGTGTGACAAACACGGTCTAAAAAAATATATGATAGATATACCTTATGAATATTGCATCTAAACAAACCGTCATAAGAAAAGAGATAAGGGTTCGGCTCGACGGAGAGAGGGTAGTTCACCATCCTGTCTGTTGTAGCAAAGACAGTTATACCTGGAATAAAGACCGATAAACCTTTTTACCTTAGCTACATAGCCCGTGACAATGCATCCAATGGCATCGGCCAATCCGTATGTCATCATTACAAATCCCACACTCCCCGTACCCACTGCACACGACACGAAAGCCTGAAATTAAAATATATTAATTACATTAAATATATTAATTAGCTTATAATAAAGATATATTAATTATATTCCGTTATTCGTTACAATGTAATTAACATAATATAAATTTATATTCTAATATTTTGCTTGAATGTTGCAAATGCGCAAAACTTTCACTCTATGCATTAGGTTCCGACCTTTACAGAAAAATGGATATGGGTAAACTGTTGGGTCAACGTAATCAATTACGAGCAAAACTTTAGATGTTGATGCTCTTTAATTAGTAGACTATAACTGGCAGGCGTTCTGTTAGGATTGATTGTGAAAATAATAACAGGCGTTGTAGTCGACTGATGGAAAACCTTTTCTAATGAAAGAAACGAGCGAGCCTTACAGCAATCACGTATGATGTGTAACATTTGAAACTTCACCTTCTATTAGTAAAAAAAGAAATAAAACCTACTACAAAAGGAATAAGCCATAAGAACATTATGTTCTAAAATCAAATCAAACAGCGCGCGCTTTTGCGTCTTCAAAAAAAAGTTTTACTATACTATAGATACTAATATTATTAACTTAGGACTAAGAGTCTAAAACTTTGTACTGTCGAGAGCTAAAAACACCTTTTTCATACATACAAAAACGTCTACTGCGCGAGTTTATTTGTCTGTAATTTTGCTCAAGAATTTTGTCGCTACCTAAGTAGTACAAACAGCCACTTTTATCTAAATTTGTCATATTTCTTCAGCTGAACTGCACGTTTTATCACTTGATATTTTATATTATCGTTATGATATATATAATTAATTCAAACGTTTTCTTGCTTAAGTCTATGCTAATATTATAAAGAGGAAGGATTTGATTGTTTGTTTATATTGAATAGGCTCCGAAACTACTGAAACTATTTGAATTTTTTTATTGATAAACTTTTAAGTGAGTCAAACTTAAAAGTCGAATATATGCTATCCAAGACATTATTATAGAACTTTTAAAAGGGAACAATTCCGTCATACGTGATTTTTTGTGTAACTTTAACAGTTTACCTAGCGCATGCGGAGGCTTATAAATGGAATATTGTTAACCGTTTTTGCAACATTTTTCATCGATGTTCCGCTCCTACTGGTCGTAGAGGTCGGGATGTTATATAGCCTATAGCCTTCCTCGATAAATGCACTCTCCAACACAAAAAAGACCTTAAATCAAAACAGCAGAGCAGTGGTGCATTCGATACAACGGCTCCTAAACAACACAAACAATTTATTTACTTGGAAGTTTTTTATTGAAGTTATACTTCTTTAGCCGCGTTATGAAAAAATTATGAGAGTGAAATTTTAAGATGCGCGCGCATCATTGTAACCCAAAAGTAACATAATGAAGTTAGCCGCGGGCGCGTTATGAAAAAATGATGTGAGTGAAATTTCGAGATACGCGCATCACTGTAACACAATAGTAACACCATGAAGTTGGCCGCGGGCGCGTTATGAATGTTAGTGTCTAATAATGGTGGATCATCTGTTCGGAAGGTACTTTGAACGATCCACGGAGCTCCATAAGATGATCGCGTTGTCAAAAACAATGTTGGCACGCTCGTCGCCTCTGATCACTGTTTTCATATTTATAATATTTATCCACATGTTTCTAGTTTCTATATAGACACAACGTGTTTTAGTTACTTACAAGTGCTAATTACATATGGACTGATAACTTAAATTCAGTAGTGATTTTAATTGAATATTTTGAATATTTATTTAATTTTTCAAATTAAAACTGAACTTAATTGACTGTGTTAACTATCCTTTTCCAGTCCTTTTATTATTTTATTGTAATTATTAATTATTTGCATGCAATTAAAAAATATTTTTAATGATGCTAAAGAAGTATAACTTCTCACGCGCGTACATAAGTTACACGCATCCATTTTTTTTTATGAAGAAAGTAATTGTGTATAATAAAAGCCTGAGAACAAAAACTTTAGTCTACTGCGTTGAGCTGTTAATAATAAATAATAACGGTTATTCACATAAGAATATAAGTATTAAAAATCGGTTAAAAGATCAAAAATGATCATGTTGTTTAGACTCTTTTGGCCAGTATAATTATATTCAAAGCTCACCGCAGTGAAGTCAGCGCCGAAGAAGGCCTGCTGGTAACCCACGAAGATGTTGATGATGACCAGCATCAGCTGGTTGGGCTCCACCAGAAGCTTCACTGTAACAGCCAGCAGCGCAAACCCTGACAGACCCGTCTCCTTACCAGTACGGACTGAATCGTATCTGTGACATCAAATTTATAAAATGTTATCTGAGCATTTAAATATTAGTTGGAACATGAACGAATGATGTAAATATAGAATACCAGCTGTGCCCCGCGGGTAACACCGCGGTTTATTAGGGATATTTTTTCACGCAGTAAAACGTAGCCTATGTGTTAATCCAGGGTGTCAGTTAATTTCATACCAAATTTTATTGAAATCGCTCTGGCCGTTTAGACGTGAAGAAGTAACAAACATGCACACACACCCACAAACTTTCGCCTTTATAATATTAGTGTGATTTATAGTCACGAAGTTTCTACATTGATTGTAAATCTGTTATGAAAGGTTAAAACTCAGGTGAAAATGATGTTTTACTTCATCCGTTGCTTATAATTGAATATCTTACCTCTTCATGGAATCCACTCCGATACCAACAATAAGAGCAGCACCAGCCATACACGCTAAATAAATACCTGAAAGGGAATTCAATGTAACATTTCAAAATTCTACTCTAGAGTACTATAAACATGAAAGGAAATTTAATTATAAAAGTACAAATCTTTTGGTATTTTGTTTATATTCATAAAGGTAATAAAAAATCGTCGCTTTTCATAGACGACTACTATGATCAAGACCAAGCTCTTACAATTAAAGAGGTAGGTAGATAACACATTACGGTGCATATTAAAAGACCCCTGTTCACGCTAGAATATTCTAATAATAATAAGGTAGAGAGTAGCGAATTTTCTGCTCGAATTGGAGCGCCCGTCTGCGGAAGTAACTTGCTCCACCTTACAGAGTATAACAGTAAAATATTACTACCTTTTGCTGGTGTTGTATTTCTGTTGGTAAGTAAGGTTCGAGTGCTCCACGGGGTAGGGGATCGAGTCAGGGTAGGCAACGGTGCAAGTGATATTTTTGGTAGGTATCACTAACGTCTATATAGGCTATGGTGACCGATTACTATCAGATGAGCCATATGCTTGTTTGTCACCCTTTTAACATTAAAAAGCTCTCGCACCAGTAACATCAGATGTTATCTATCAAAAATATCATGTTTACTCCTGCAACACATCGGCCGCGTCAGCGCTGGGCAGGAAATTGGTACCGCACAGCTTTGGTATCATTGATGTGTTCAACGCCGTCACTGTCATGGACCCTAAAAGGACATTATCCGTATCTTGTATAACGGTTGCCGCTGCAACGCTACGGCTGCGTCAGCGCTGGGCAGGAAGCTGACGCTTGCACATCTCCGGTATCATTGGGACGTGCAGTGCAGTCACCGCCGCAGTGTTGTTACCAAATGACAATGTACACTTACAGGTCATTATCCGTATCTTGCATAGCGGCTGCTGCTGAAATACTTCGGTCGCATCGGCGCTGGGCAGGAAATTGGCGCCGCACAGCTCCGGTAGCATTGACGTGTTCAACGCCGTCACTAATGTACACTTACAGGTCATTATCCGTATCTTGGACAGCGGCTGCTGCTGCAGCGCTTCGGCCGCGTCAGCGCTGGGCAGGAAGTTGGCGCCACACAGCTCCGGTATCATTGTGGCATTCAGCGCCGTCACCGCCGCAGTGTTGTTACCAGATGATAGTACTGGGAATAGGGAAAACATCTTCTAGTCAATGTGGTATTTGAAGAATATCCTGTTATATTCATCATTTAGAGAAACAACTTAAAAAATCCGAATTGTCAAATTACGAGTACCTAAGTTAAATACTTATTCGTAATTTGCTGGTCACAATGAGAACGAAGTAGAATAGAACTGAGATCTTTTACATACTTGCGTTCATACCGCGAACACGATACCAGTCAGACAGAAGCACAGCTCAATAAAAATTCGCGAAATGTGAGTATATGCACGTAAACAAAGTAACATGTACAGCGATCTCGCACAAAAATACTCCCGAATATACTCGACATGGAGCCGGGATTCTGTATTTACCAGTCAGACAGAAGCACAGCTCAATAAAAATTGGCGAAATGTGAGCATATGCACGTAAACAAAATAACACGTGCAGCGATCCCGCACAAAAATACTCCCGAATATACTCGACATGGAGCCGGGATTCTGTATTTACCGCAAACTTTAACTTCATTTAGCTCTAGTTGGACAACGATAACGAAGCTTAACAAGCTCATTTGTGTAAAGGGGCTCGGCAAATAACGTAGAAACCAATTGAAGTTATTAAGCATTGGCTTAACATCACTTCAATGGCCTGATTAGAATACGACATATGTATAAAACATAACTTACCAAGGGACGAGATAAGGTTGCCCCACACTTGATTCATCTGGAAGATCATGAAGAACAGCCCTAAAAAGCGTACCAGGAGCTTTTCAGGTGAAACTTTAGATATTCTGCTATAAGCTTCCGATACCTGAAATCATAAAAAATTAAGAGAGCCAAACAAATTGTCATAGTGAGAGTAATAAGTTGTTCATGTTTAGGGTACTGATGTTAGATCATAGTCCCACTACATTTCAATACTACTATATTCGTCATACAGTTTATCTTTTTCTATTTATACGTAAACATTAGCAGCTGTTCATCTGTAGGTTTTTCTTCGCTCCCAATCGTCACTATCAATAAAGGAGTGAGAAGCAACACACACACTACACACAATAAATGTCATTTAAATTACTTCCTTACAAAAGAAAATCCTTCTCTAAGGACGCTCAGTTCTGTGTATGTTGCCTTTTTTATGCCGCTTAATACAAGGAAAAGTGATCTTAGACATTGAGTTATTTCTAATACTAATTATATTAATGGCCCAATGAACTTAAAATCCATAGGAATTGCTTTTAATTTTTAAGTTCATGCTGTCTTTATGTGCCAGATAGAGCCACTTAATAGTTATTTGTGCAACTGTTGTATAATGAGGGGTATTAAAATACGAATGTGGGTTTAAAAATTGAATACGATAATAGTATCACATAAGAGTTTTCATACCTAATTATGATTAGTTGCATACAACACTTCATCTACACCTATGATATGATTCCTTTTTAAAAGATTCTGAACCCATAGACTTACTTTTCAGATAGCCACAATTTTCAATTCATAATATCAAGCATCACGTGTGCTTGATATTATGAATTTCAAAAAAAAAGAGCATTGTCGCTCACGCTCGCTGCACTACCACAGCTCCAAAATGGATGAGCATGTAGAATGCCGGGTACAGCCATCGGGTAGGGCCACTAAGTATTATGTACGTCACAAACGACAGAGATATAGTCCATCTCTGACCACTGACAAGTAGACGGCTGGCCCAGTATATAGTATGTACGTCACAAACGACAGAGATATAGTCCATCACTGCCACTGACAAGTAGGTACCTACTTGGTGCTCGAGAGCGGTCCCCGCCGAACCCGACGATTGAGGCCGACCGGGATGAGCGTGTAGGTGGTCGGGTACAGCTGGGCCGCTATGAAGTATGTACGTCTCAAACGACAGAGATATAGTCCATCACTGATCACTAACAAGTAGGTACACTTGGCGCACCAGAGCGGCCCTCCGCCGCGCCCGACGATGAGGCCGGCTGGAAGGAGCGTGTAGAAGGTCGGGTACAGCTGGCCCAGTATGTAGTATGTACGTCACAAACGACAGAGATATAGCCCATCACTGACCACTGACAAGTAGGTACTCTTGGCGCACCAGAGCGGCCCCCCGTCGAGCCCGGCGATGAGGCCGGCCGGGATGAGCGTAGATACAGCTGGCTCAGTACGTAGTATGTACGTCACAAACGACAGAGATAAAGCCCATCACTGACCACTGACAAGTAGGTACACTTGGCGCACCAGAGCGGCCCTCCGCCGAGCCCGACGATGAGGCCGGCCGGGATGAGCGTGTAGAAGGTCGGGTACAGCTGGGCAGCTATGTACGGCATGTACGTCACGAATGAAATTGATATAGCCCATTTTGTACCGAACCATCTGAAAAAGAAGAATGAGGAATTCGTTAATAAATTTTAACTCGAAAACTACGAAAAATCGTAGAACATACATGGGTGTTAAATTGATAGGTATGGTACTCCGCTATCAGCTCGCATTGGCTTGACATCCTAAAAGAAACAGCCTGTATATTATAGGTAAAGTAGCAATAAATTGATATTATTAAACACACTTCACTGATTTTTCGACCTATATTAGTTAAGATGTACTGAAGGTACTATGAAATAGAATACATACACTAATTGCTTCATCAGATGAAACAATGATAGGTACATTACCTTATCAATATCTCAATCAGTAAAACAGATGATTGAGGCATCTGTTTTATAATTACATTTATTTGAGTACCCAGTATGATGTTTAAAGATCTATATCCTAAGATCAGGAAACGTCATATCCATCAGATAACCATAAATGAACTTGAACTTTAAACTCTACCGGGATCTATCCAGCAGACATTACCCATTAGATCATAAAAAGTTGTTACTAATAAGTTAAAAAAACTCTTGTTGCATTCAAAAGGTTCCTTTTCCTATGAATCAGTTTCAATTTAATTCAAAATGTCACAGCAATATTAACCAAACCTCAACAATACATTTGGTTGGTATTAAGTTTTGTTTGAAAACAGTCCAATAAATGAAAAAAAAAACTGTTTTATTTTTAAACTTCATGACTATTTATTTAAAACCTCAATTTTTTATATTTTTATTTTAAGCATTTAACTACTAGATCTATAAATCTAAAGAAAATTAGTAGTAGTAAGTTACTAGAAGAAATTCGACACAGTCATTAATGTCTTGGTAGAATCCAATCTGATGCCTATACTGCGTGGAATTTTTTCTAGTAAAATTTTCTTTTTTAAAGTTTCTACTCACTTTATAACCACAGCCGGGAGGAATACGTTGGAGAATATGAGGCCGGCGTAAACTGCCGCCAGCGAAGCAGTGCCCAGCCCAGCCTCGGCATTTATTGAGCTTTGCAGATTCGCAGCACCCTGGAATGGAATGCCAATAAAATATAAGTTTAAAGACATTAACAGCGTATTAGTGTTTCAGATTATGGAACATTTTGCCCACGTAAAAACTGGTCTGCGCTCCAAGTGTCAACTTTAAAAAAATTGCATAGGTAGTCCGACTCGCACTTGTCCGTTTTTTTTAAGTATTTTAATTAATTGGATACCATACGCAGTTAACATCTGTGTTATGCTCTAAAACCAGTTCATCACTACAACATTGCATCACCGTGGTAACATTTGCAATACTAACTAAAGCTTTGCCAACGAGCACGGCGTGTGTCTGAATTAAAAATGATGACTTTTTTTTTGGTATTCGGCAAATTGTAAAATAACAGCAGCGCCTAGTTCCCTCTGAACCCTGAATCAGTTTAAATTAGTAAATCAAGCTCGTTCTCTTAACCCACACACAGTCACTTGAGCCAATGCCGAAATAAGCGAGTAGAGCTAGAAACTGAAACGAGTTGGCGAGCAGCGGAAGCGGGTGTGTAGTTTTGCTAGTTTTATATGGACTGGGCTATAAGGGAGTGTACGAGTACGACGGGCGATTACTCGCGCCACGTGCTTGCAAAGCCAATCCTGTGCAAAAATACACGCACTGAGAGAGTATTATCTTTGATAGCTATTGTGGCTCAGCGACAAACTAGTGGATAGAGTTCTCGCCGGCAGTGTGAGCAGTCGGCGATCAACTATTAATATCTACATCTTTTGTTTACACAAAATGTATATCTACTGTACGTTTCTTGAGCGAGAAAATAACCGATATTAATTGCTTCCTCGCCGACGCGGCGGTAAGACATCTGTTAGTTAGAATCTCTATCAAAGTTTCGGTGCGACAGTGGACATGTGGGAAGGAGCCAAATAAGAAACGAAAGTGAATAATAACGATATAGAAGCCACGCAAGAACAAGTCTTACTATCTGGATATAGTTGACTTAGAAAACCGTCAGAAACACAGAACAGAAAGCAAGAGTTATGAATTTAGGGTAGCAAAAATCTACTTATGTTTTTTCTGTTTTTTGTATGTGAACACCGTGCCTTTTAGAGCTCCTGTTCTGTCAGCCTGCACCCCTTGGGACTCGGCGTTAAAATAAGGTGTGTGTGTGTGTGTGTGTTCTTTCGTAAGTGTTCTCTGAATTTATGGAATTGGAGTGGATTCGGCCTTGTGTCGCTTGATCTTAGCTTATCAACCTAAAAATATGTATTCCAGCACACGCGATAAAAAACATAACAAACAGGTCAGCATGACTTACGCTGTACGCTGTGAACTGCACCATGAATGCTATACTGATGATGACCACATTCTTGAGAATCCTCCACGTCTCCCGGGGGTGGAACTCTTCGCTTACTTGCTTCTCCTCTTTCGACATCTTCTATAGTCTGTTAAGGTGATATGTTAATTAATAAATGAAATGTAAAATTATAGTCTTATCATTGGAAGAAGTTGTGAAGGATGGTTCTAATTGAATGCACTGGCCGTTACGCTAGAAGGACGCTGATTCGTAGCAGCCTGATATCTGATAGCGATATTGCGCGTGTTATATATTGTTCACAATACGTTTCATAAGATTAAATGACAAGGATTTTATATAAAAAAAACGAGTGTGCTTATGACCACAGGACTGAAATGAAACTTCTTTAGCTCCAATGATCTTAAAATCATAAAGTTAACCTGAAGATTTGTTGTTAGAGAAAGAACCACCAATCGGCGCTGGGTCCGTTATGACCCTCCGATCCGCACTGGGTCCGTTATGACCCTCCGATCCGCACTAGGTCCATTATCACCCACCATCCGCGCTGGATTCGTTATCACCCCCCAATCCGCGCTGGATCCGTTATCACCCACCAATCCGCAATGGGTCCCTTATCACCCACCAATCCGCGCTGGGTCCTTTATCATTCACCAATCCCCATTTTTTGTGGAGATCGTTAATCTGCTGCTTAAATAAAACCATATTTTAAAAGTTTGTTATGGCTATTTTAGTCCCCCAGAGCATTCGCCTGAAGAATGCTGGCTCTTTTCATCCAGCCAAATGATAGCTGCGGTCCTACGCCAATTTCAGACAAAATTTTCGTAAGAATGTTTAAACCCCTCAGGAGTTTTTTTTCCACACGATCTATAATATACATACAATTGAATGACAAAAAACAAAACACAAAAAAGAGGTTCTGTGGCTACTACGTGTGTCATGGACCAATTTTTCGATAAATGACTACAAATGCTAAAAAAATAAAAGGGGTCCTACGTAGATACTGTGAATTTATTTTTATTTTATTTAGAAAGAACCCTTTCATGACATTGAACATTTTTGGTGCTTCACATGGGCGTCATGAATGAACCGAATGTGCATTGCATTGCTTAGATAAATTATTGGTCTTCCTGCTGTCGACCACAGGGAGACAAATCATTTGACTAACATGCATTGTTTCAGTGTCTAAAATTATCTTCGCGTTTTGCCTTACAAATGAAACCGATTTAAGGCATATCGGTTGGATGATTTTATAGTGTACTAGCGGCCGCCCGCAACTTCGTACGCGTGGAGTTAGTAATTTACACAAACTTTTTGGTTCACTGCTCGTTCCCCGTAGGTGATAGCGTGATAATATGTAGCCTATATGTTGACCCGACTTTTTAATAATATTCGTGCCAAATTTGAAGTAAATCCATGCAGTACTTTTTGAGTTTATCCCGGGCATACATACAGACAAACAGACAAAAATTCTAAAAACTATATTTTTGGCTTCGGTATCGAATGTAGACACCCCCAAGTATTCTTTTAAAAAATATCAATGAATTCTTGAATATTGCTGCAATATTTGGAATCCACAATACATTACTTATAAACATGACTTAGAATCGATACAGTCAAAATTTGTTAAGCATCTTAACTACAGAAAAAGAAATGACTGTCCGGACTACAGGGAAGGATGTCGTTTCCATCGTTTGGTCCCTCTTGAGGACAGGTGCACTATGCTCGATATGACATTTCTCTACGACGTTTGCAATGGGAATATAGACTGCACTGAGCTTGCCTCTTCATTTTTAACACTCTACACACCCACTACCCGTACCAGACATACATCATCTTTCTTTTTCACAATTCCTACGTGTCGCACAAACTATGCACAAAACTCAGTTGTTTTTCGATCGCAAAGTACATACAATAAAAATTTCACGGCTGTTGACATATTTGCTTGCAAAAGTAAAGCATCTTTAAAAAAACTACTTCTAGGTTTGTTGGTTGATTGGTAATATACAAACAAGAATGAAACACTTACACATGTATACATATATACATACAAACACACACACATACACACACACATATACAATAGCGCGCGCGCATTGCACACATCTCGCCCTTGTTTGGTAGAGGGTTTTCTAAACTATTATGCTATAACTCAAAAATGAAAATCCTTAATTGGCATTAAGATAAACTATATTGTAAAACCTGTATTATATTAAGAAAATGCTGTGGATTTTGGTCTAGAATTAAATAAATGTACGGTTTTGACTTTCCTACCATTTTATTATGTGTATAGATAACGGACATAAGTAGAAACGAATTGCTTTGCTTTTAATTTAAGCAATGCATTATAAGTATTAAATTTAAAAAAATACAATTAAACCACCTACGTGTAACAGTGGACGTTAATCAGCTGATCAAATAACTAAAGCAATTGATTGAGCTCAAAATATTTACAAGTGTACGTACCTATTTCTAAATTTATGAAAACTCTTTACATCACTTAAACTTCCCGTTTTAAAACAGTCCCGCAAGTTATTTCAATAATTTGTATATCAATATCAAAACTATGTAACAATCTAAGTATAGTTATTATACACCCAAACGTTATAATAACTTGAAAGGTGTGAACAGATAAATAGGAACAAACAAAGAGATTTCATTGTGACTGACTTACCAAGAATTGTGTTTAAACTCAAACACGTTAAACTTCAAGCTAATAAATTATCCAAATTTGCAGGTCCAAACGCTTGTGGGGTGCTACGTCGGAAACCTCCTCGTGTGCCCGGTCCATTGCCTATCCCTGGTCAGTTATGATAGGGGAACGGAAATGGGTTCGGGACGGTGCATCCTGGGCATCTGCGTAATGTCTCCCACTGAGGGTGCTGTTACGGAGGTGTCGAATATCCGACAATCTCGTAACCCCGTACGTAGTGCGGGGCCGAGGGCCGCCGTCTGCAAAGGAACTGTTCCTTTGGAGGCGGGGGCTACGAGGAAGACAACCTTTATAAAAAATTACCCGGTGGTGGTCTCGGCTGGCGCCCTGGGTATCCCGGGTAGCGGCAGCCGAGTCAAGCTCGTAACCCTGCACATAGTGCGGGGCCGAGGGCCGCCGTCTGCAAAGGAACTGTTTCCCTTGGAGGCGGGGGCTGCGAGGAAGACAACCTCTCTAAAAAATCACCCGAGGGGTCTCTCGGCCGGCGCCCTGGGTAGCCCGGGTAGCGGTGGTCGAGACTCTCTAGGTTGAGGCGGAAACGCCATTGGTGAGGGCGGTTGCGGCGCGAACTCCGTGTCGCCTCCGGCCAACCCGTAACCCCGCACGTGGTGTGGGGCCGGGGGCCGCCGTCCTTCGGGGCGGGGGCTGCAAGGAAGAAAACCTTTTCAAAAATCACCTTTGAAGAAGGCCAGGTAGGGTTCCTTCGCCCGGAAGAGGGAAAACGTAATGAATATGTCGTCTTATGAGAATGTTTTGTCATGCACTCCCGCTGACACCGGGCGCTCTGAGGTAGCTGGGCCTCAGAGTGGGAAATTTGCTACTAGCGGCTCATGCGCTCCGGCTGGCCACCGGCGCTGCGGGATTACCGGGTCCCGCAGTGGTAAGTTTGCTACCGAGGCGTATAAGGGAGATGCTGCAGATGTTGGCATTCTGCGCCTTAGAGGCGGCAGCGACATGGAGGAAGAGGTGGTGGACATAACACCTACTCCACCTAAAATAAGCACGGCGAGGAGAGGGAGATGGAGACCCAAGGGCAAGATCCCGATTATTCTGGGTGATCCGAAAGGGGAAGTGGAAGAAGGGATCAGGAGAGTCGTCGATGACGCGAACACCCTAACTACAAAGGAGATCAGGTTCGGTATGGCCGAGCGCCTGAAATTCATCGATGAGGTCGCGGATGAGGAAGTCGATGATGAGTCGACAAGGAAGACTCTCCTGGTGGTGGCGAGACAAATATCCGACTTCATGGAGGTGGTCCTGAAGAAGGCAGACAAGACGGACAGGCTTGATAGGGTTGAGGAGGTGAATTGTCGGCTCCGAGAGGAGAACGGGTGTCTCAGGGCGGAGGTTGAGTCCCTGAGAAAGGAGGTGCACTCTTTGAAGAGGACCCTGGAGAGAAAGTCAGTCGTGTCACTGGCAAGCGAGGCCGTCGAGGAGTTGAAATGCTCCCTTATGGTATCCATAGGGGAGATGGTCAACACCCGGCTGGCCTCTCTAGAGGAAAGGCTCCAGCTGCCACCAACTAAGAGCCTGAGACCGCCACTGGCGGCTGATCGCAAGGTGGGGAAGGCGTCGGAGACGAGGGCGATGGAGCCCTGGAGTGTGGTGGCCGCGAGGGGGAAGAAGAGCAAGGGCACGGCTCCTGCAGCCAGCCCTGCGCAGAAGGGCGAGGCCGTCACGCAGATCAAGCGCGACAAGGACCGGCGTAAGGGTGGGGAAAAGGCGCCGCACATCAAGGTGCCGAGTACCGCCGCAGTTGAAATGAGGGTGAAGCCCAGGGCGGAGGAGCTGGGCCTCACCCTCACGAGCATTGTGGAGATGGCACGGGCGGCTATCGAGCTGCCGTCCGTGGGCATCGACGACGGCTTAACTATTAAAACGAGCCAGACTGGATCCAGGCTCCTACTGGTGTCGGGGCCTGGTAATAGGAAAAAAGCGGATGACCTCGCCAAAAGAATGGAGGAGGTAGTGGGTGAATACGCGCAGATTGGCAGGCCGGAAAAGTGCACCGACCTAAGGATAACCGGGCTCGATGAGTCGGTGACACTGGACGAATTGAAGGCGACGATAGCTAAGGAGGGAGGTTGCTCGGCGCACGAAATCTCTGCGGTGGGAGCTCATCCAGGACCGATAGGAATGAGGGGGTTGCTCATCCGATGCCCCACATGGGCCGCGCGGAAGGTGGCAGAGGAGAAAAAAATAAAGGTGGGATGGAGTCTCGCCAAGGTGACCGTCCTAAGCCGGCGCGCGCACTGCTTCAAGTGCATGGAGAGGGGGCACGCGGCGGCGCGTTGCCCGGCTAAAGAAGACCGAAGCACCCTGTGCTTCCGGTGCGGGGCAGCGGGGCATAAGGCGGCGACGTGTGCTGCCCCCGCCAGATGTGTGGTGTGCGCGGCGTGTGGTCGGCCGGCAGACCA